TTTCCCGGGAAATGCGGCCCTGCGCGTTCGTTGTGGCAGCCTCGGATTCGGGCTTTGCGCGGGAAAAGATGATAATAATAATAAGGAAAGGGGTTAAAAGTAAAGTGGCTGCGGTGCGATCGCGTGCGGGGGAGGGGGTGGGGCGGCCCGCGGCGGGCGCACCGGCCTGCCCCCCCCCTCCCGGGCCCCCAGCCCGCTCTCCAGGAGCACCCCACTTCCAGCCTCGCCCGCCTGCTGCATCGTGCCCGCGGCGTCCTTTCCCGCCTTTCCTCGTGGGGGCGCCCTCCGCTCCTGCCCTCTTTGTTCCGCACAACAATGGCCAAAAGGGCATGGAGCCCCCAAAGGGCCACGTGCCCCTCCAGGAGCTTCCAGTCGCTGATCCGGCCACCACGCGCTTGACTTGGGCCGGTTCGCTGCTGGGTTTATCGGTAACAGCTCATCGAAAGGGCAAGGGAAAGGGGCCGAGAACCCCAAGCGCGGTCCACGTGTGTTTGGGGGGTGCGGCGGTGTGACGCCTCGCAGGCCCGACGGCACAGGCAGCCCTGGTGCCCCAACAGCCCTGGGGATCTGAGGTCTCCAGGGGATTCAAAGCAGGGCCCCGGGCCGCAGGCACCGGAGGGGTAGTCAGTCCCCCCTTCCCTTGCTTTCCGCATTTGTGTTCGTGCCGAAATGCAGTTGTACCCTCGCTGGGCCGCGCAGTTGGTGAGAGAAAAAGAAACATTCCTAAGAGCGGAAATGTGTCTTCGCTTATGTTGTTTCTCGTCTAGAACCAGTTCCTTTGTGAAACACAAACTAAGCTACTCATAATTCTCCATTTGTTCATATTTTATTGAAAGATACCTCTTACCGTTCTGGAAAACGCTTATTTCCAAGTGACGTTCCGTTCGGAGTGCCATCATTGGGAATCGCGCTCATGGAGTTTTAGAAAGGCTTTGGCCCAAGATTATCATATAAATAAACAAACAAACGCACTATCTGTCATTCACACCTTTAAAAACCTCTTTCCTCTCTCTAAACTTCCTTTAAAAATATGCCCAATTCTCCACTCCAGTTTTTCCTACCCTATCACAGTTCCTCCTCACCTGGATCCATTTATTGCCATGCTTTAGACATTATTAATAGTTTCCTCTCTTTTGAAACTCTATAAAATAATTTATTTCCTTGGATCCAGAATGTTCCAAGATTCTGACCTGACTCCCTCATCCTTCTGTCTTCTGTCTGGTTCCCAGGAATTCTAAGGCGCCTTTAGTCTGCTCTTTCCCAGTGGGTGGGACACCCTGCCATCTATTGTCTGAGAAAACCAGGTCTGTTTTCACTGCCTCCTGCCAGCAAAGCAGGAGGGAATCCTGTCTTAGGCAACTTTAAATGAGAGATGTCTGTAACTTGTTCAGAGGGAGGTGTGTGCAAAAATTCAACCAACTTTCTTAAGAATGTTTTTGTGTGTATTGCACAGAGATGATGAAAGAACTTATGGTTAGAGATCCTTCAACAAGCATTTATTGAACACCAATTACTAAACACCTCTGAATACGGGAAGATATGCAAATATGAAGTCATCATGGGTCTGCTCTCAGGGTTTTCAACCCCAAACCTAGGAGATAAAATATATATGCAGGGAAAACAGGTCAAAAGTTATTAATATTGGCAAGCTGGTGGGAAAACTGGTCCTTCATGTCCTGCTGACAGGCATGTAAATTGGTGTAGCTAAGTTGAAGGGCAGTTTGGCACCCTGAAAATCTATAACATGCACATTCTATGACCCAGCATTTCCATTTCTTGGTATGTATCCTAGAGAAGCAGGCACACACCAGCACAGATTATGTAATTCCCTGTCATTGCAGAGTTTTGCTAATTCTGAAATTGAAAACATCTAATGGCCAACAGCAGGGAATGGCTAAGGAACCTGGTCCATCTGTCTTCTGGAAAATTAGGCAGCAGTTAAAAAGAATGAAGTAAGTCTATCTATACGGAGACAGAAAAATCACCAAGACATATAGTATTAATGAAAAAAAAAAACATTGCAGAACCATACATACTGTATAGTACCATTTTAAAAACAAAATAAAACTATGCATTTCTGTAAGTAAAAACGCATACATAAATGGAGAGGGAGTGTGTAGAATAAGACACCCACTCAGAGACAAGAATTGGAGGACTTCTCAAGGAGGCATTTAGTCATATTATTCATATCCACCCATAACCATGATTAAAATATTGAAATTTGCATTAATTTATAAGTTGATTGGATAACAAAATACAATTAACAAGTTAAGAGTACTAATAAGGTGCAATAAAAGTCACAAGTGAGATGCTCCAACAATTTTGAAAGGAAGAGGAGAATGCTAGGCTGCAAGGGAGGGCTTGCACTAGGCTTCATAGAGAATGCAGTGGGATTGGGGGACAAGGCAGGTAAAAGGAAGCCTGATGCAGACTCAGAGCTCCAGCTCCTTCCTCCTCTTTCTTCTCAGGTTTATATAAATCCCCTTGCAAGGCTGATTTCTGCCCTGCTAAGGTCCAGATGGAGGAGTGAACTAAATGAACCGGTCACAGTTTCTTTCACTGCGATGATTCTATGAATGTCTTAAATTAGATTTAGGAGAAAAGAACGAACCAGTAGAATTCTAACAATGGTATTGGAAGGTGGTGATTTTTAAAAGGAATGGATGGTGTGGCTCGGTGGTTGAGCATGGACCTATGAACCAGGAGGTCATGGTTTGATTCCTGGTCAGGGCACAAGCCCGGGTGAGGCAGCCAATCAATGTTTCTCTCTCACCATTGATATTTCTATCTCTCTCTCCCTTTCCCTTCCTCTCTGAAGTCAATAAAAAATATATTTTTTTAAAAAAAGGAATGTAGTGAAAACTTGAGAATGGGGAATTTTTTTTCTACTAAATGCACACTGGGATACATATTGGAAATTAGGCTGCAGAGAAAGATAAGGGTTGAGAAGATAATTCTTTTTTTTTTAAAGTCTCAAAACTGCTTTTAAAACAAATATTTAAGGCTGGTTTCATTTATTCATTCACTCGCTTAAGGAATATTTGTTGAACGTTGGTTATGTACATAACACTATGCTAGGTGTCACGGGGGAGTGAAACCCACAGCAGAGGACAGGAAAACAGCCCCAGGCCTAGGGCACTGCTTCTCTATCTGATCTCACACAGGCTGTGTGGTCCTTTCATGACCACTGCCCCCCCCCCATGCCACACCTCTCATTGTGGCTAAAATTAGGAAGGGGAACCCACTGACCACTCAAGTCCCTTTCAATGTTAGATTATGATCTTGTGAAATCCTAGGATTCTAACATTGCGATGCTTGTGAATTCTCAGGCAGATGGAATTCGGGGAATATAGGATTAGACAAGGAAGGGCCCAACAGTGCCCAGACTTGGGAAAAAAACAAAAATATTCGCTGTCATGAAAGTTCTCAGTAGATTATGTGTGTCTCAGAGTTTTTCCAGGGTTAAAACTGCATTATCACCCCTTTACGCCACTCCTAAGATCAGTGGTGTAGAAAGATGTTGCTGAGTTTTAAGTCTCGTGTTCATACACATACTGTCAAGCACTGTAGTATTATATATAGTACAGTTGACCCTTGAACAACACTGGTTCGAATCCTCTTATATGAGAATTTTTTTTCAATAAATACTGTAAATGTATTTTCTCTGTTGACATAAGAATGTCCACAGCTGTAGAGAATTTTTATAAGAGTTTACTTGAGCCAAATAGAGGGCATGCCTGGAAGCAAGATCTCAACAGTCTGAGAAAATGCTCTGGTCTGACTTCATACGATTTTCTTAATAACATGTTCTTTTCTCTCGCTTACTTTATTGTAAGAATATAGTATATACTACACATAACATACAAAACAGGTGTTAATCGACTGCTTATGTTATCAGTAAGGCTTCCGGTCAACAGTAGGCTGTTAGTAGTTAAGTTGGGGGGGGGAGTAACAGTTATATGTGATTTTCGACTGTGCTGGGAGGTCAGCACCCCTAACCCTGACATTCAAGGGTCTACTGTAGTGGCTTTTGAAATGGAGGGACAGTGTTAGCATTCCCTAAAAATAATTCGCTAAACCTTTATTTCATGGAAATAAGTCATAATAGCCAGTGCTTATTAAATGCCTGCTACCTGCCAGGTACTGTTCCAAGCACTTTACAAGTATTAACCTGCTTAATTCTTATTAAATGTATTAAATAAGATACTTATTAAATAATACCTATTCCTATAGGTATATACTGTTATACCCATTTTACAGAAAAGAGGTTAAGAATGTGCCCAAGGT